AAAAGTCCCGAGGCGCGTAGCGCCGAGGGACTTTTACTAAACCTCTCGAGGCTTGAGGGACATTTCATCACTAATCGACCGTAATGCCATGCTATTACTTTGTAATATCATAGTTGCCGAGGGAATCGCGCGTTGTGTGTTGCCTGTTTTGAATGCTGTTTGATTGACTTATGATTGTGGTACGAACATTTTTCATATATACGCACGCGCAGAAACACATCTCCGTGTTCATTCATTTTAGGCATACGAATAAACGGAATTTTCTCCCACAATTGTAATGTTCAAGATTAGGGAATAAAAGCTGGCAAAGTTATTGTTCGAATGTGTACGGGACGGTGTCGTCAGATACTGTCCAAAAGTTGTGCCGATGATTTTCGATGAGGTACAGCTCTCCAATCAGAGGTAATGAGGTACGCCGGGAAATTTAGTTGAAAACAAAGGATTTCTTTGTCTTCTAATTTTCCCTTGCATGCTTGATGAGGGAAATTTAGAAGACAAAAGCGTATGCATGGGTAATGAGGTAAATTAGTGATTAATCGTACCTCGCGAGACAAAGGATTTCGAGGCAACTATGATATTATTGTACAAAATAACTATTCAGAAAATTCAAAAATATTCGCGTTTCTATGACAACACACAACGCGAGCCTTGGCCAATTGCTAAAATTTTAGTTATTACTTCGTGTAACACACCGTAGTTTGTGCATGGCAATTAAAAGTAGGCTGAACAATCAGATGGTATCAAAACTAGAGTAGGGTTATATTATAGGTTAACTAACTAGGAGTAACCACAGGTTAAAAGTGCGACCAATACATATTGCACCACACTCCATAACGATATAAACATTCTCCTTTTCTTGATGTGTCACAACAAGTATAAATAAGTACATACACTGATTATACAAGGCGTTCTCCAAGTATAAACAATACAATTCTATTAATATTATGTTCTACCTTATTTTTTGGTGCAAAAATATCATTTTGAATATCAACAAGGTCAGGCCGAAGTAGATTACAACAAAGGGTCATAAATAACAAATAACAACTAAAGTCTAAACAGCTAGTGCAACTATAACTCGGCAAACGGTCATAGATAAACAAATAAATAACTGAATGTAACTGTTATTATAAGTGCAAGTCGAACTGATAAACAAATTTTCAAAACTACATTCTATAGCTAGACAACAATTTTCGACAAATCACAATTTGTTTTGTTTTTTCGAGGTTTTTTTTGGCACGTTTGCCGAAGTTTTTTGCACAATTTGCATACGAAGTTAATACACAATTATTAATTAATCGTGTTGGAGATTGTCAATATTTAATTGTTTATTGCATACCTGAAGTTAATTAATGCGGAAGTGTCAATAAAAAAAAATGCGGGTTTGTACATATTGCAAGAACTTTGTGATTGTGTTGAGACGGGGCGAGAATAAATATATTTTTCATAAAAGCGTTTGAAATATCTACTTTTAGTGAGTTCCCACCGGGCACACGACGTTGTTTCAACGTCGAAATTTGGTAGAAAAAAGGTTGCGACGTCGACAACCTAATATCTACGTTGCTCTAACGTTGTTTTACAAACATTGATACAACAGCGGCCAACAGACGTTGAATTAACGTTCATTCATGGTTAAATGTACGACGTCGATTTGTGAACCAATCTCAACGTTGTTTTAACGTGGATTCAACGTTGAATTATGGTTGACGAGATTGGCAACCTAATTTCAACGTTGTTTCAACGTCGAAACCAACCCTTTTTCAACGTCTATCCAATGTCTGGAAGGTCATTTCCAACGTTGATTCAACGTTGGATTGATTCAACGTTGGATAAACGTCATTTTGCCCGCTGGGTTGTTGTAGGAGGCAATTCACGACACAGTGGCACCTCCGAATGGGATTAGTCGTGAGTTAGCTCGAATCAAGAGAAAAAAAACGTGCTTCTTGTGAAGAATCGACATTGTGAAATAATAAATTTATATATTCTCGAGTATAACATGGATAAACAAGTAAACGAACTCGCGAGCAAAGTAAAAGCCCTGAGATTTAGGCAAGGAAAAACCGAAGAAATAATGGCTAAACAAGACCAGCAAGCGTCTGAGCGTCAGCGAGAATCTATTAACAATGTCACCAAAGCGAAAATCAATCTTAAAGAGACCATAGAAGAAAAGATATTTTCCAAGGGCGAGAGCGAAGAAGACGTCGCAGAATGGGCTAAAGAATACGAAGACGAACTTGCTATAGCGGACGGAAATGTACGAAGATTGGCTCGACAAATTAAAGAAATCGATCGCCGAGAACAACACGAGAAGGCAGTGCAAGATCATAAGAAAAACCTTGAATTTGAGCGAGTATTACTGCAGCAAAAAGCTGAATTTGAGAAAGAACGCGAGAAAGAAAAGGCAAGCGAAGCAGAAAATAGCGAACAATGTAAACAAAATTCAGCCGCTAAATTACCGAAGTTACCTACAACAAAATTTAACGGCAAATTCGAATCATGGCTACCGTTTTGGGGAAAATTTACGTCGGAAATCGAATCAACGAAAATACCAATCTTAACGAAGTTTGCCTACAGTAGTTTTAAAAAAGAATTACTTGACGAGTCTGTACGTTGTGACATTGACGGCCTGCCATTTACCGAAGAGGAATACTCAAAAGCCAAAGATATTCTCAAAACCGAATACGGACAGTCAGCTGAAGTTGCGAACGCATACATAGTAAATATCACCAATCTACCGGTAATTTCAGGGACAAATCCTACTAAAATACACGATTTCCATAGACAACTGAGATATAATGTTCAAATTTTGATACACTTGGCAAATTAGATGATGTGAGAGGAAATGTGCGAGCAACTTTGGACAAGTTAAAGGGAATAAAAGCAGACCTAGTACGCGGGAATGAAGGCTGGCAAGAATGGAGCTTTGATGATCTTCTAAAAGAGCTGAAAAAGTGGAAAGATATCTATACGATTGAGGAAAAATCAGAGCCAAGAGATCAACTAAAAGGCGGGAAAGGTTCAAGATCGAAGTTTTTCCATGCAAAGGATTCGGGACGCGACACGCGAGAACGAAGTTGTGTGTACTGCGAGGATACCACGCACAAAGGCACGAACTTCCCAAAGGTTGTAACAAGATAACAAAGAAAAAAATTCTGGCGGAAAAGAGACTATGCTCCAATTGCCCAGGAAGTCAACATCGTGCTGTCAACTGTAAAAGCAAACTCGGATGTCAGAAATGTAACAAGAAACACCATACTTCAATCTGTGAACAATCAGAACAACTCTTAGTGGCTGGAGGTCATATGAACACGCGCGTTACGCACCCAGTGGTTATAATCGAAGTTGAAGGTTTTAAGTGCAGAGCCCTACTCGACACCGGGGCAGGCAGTTCCTACGCGTCGGCAGCACTTTTGGATCGCATTCCAAAGCGGCCTTCCAAGAAAGAAATACGAAAAATTGATATGATGCTCGGCGTGACTACGAGGGAAGTCGAATTGTCAATCATTGAAATCAAGGGAACATGGGGTAAATTTTCTATGAAAGTCGAAGTCACCAAGATGAACAAAGGAGAGCTTGTGTTCATAGACAATCCGAGATATCAGAACATGATAGAGCAAAATTCACACTTGAAAGGAGTCATCATGGAAGACATTGATCAGAAAGAGCGACTTCCGGTGCACATCATTCTCGGAGCAAGTGACTACGCAATGTTGAAAACTGATCAGCCACCCAGAGTTGGTAAATCGGGGTAACCGGTAGCTGAGTTGACACAGTTTGGATGGACCATCATGTCCCCTGGAAAAGAATCCTGCGACGTGACCAATATGCTTTTGACTCAGACATCCCAGGCTGATTACGAAGAACTGTGTCGCCTGGATGTCTTGGGTTTGAAAGATACACCCACCAACGACCAGCTCAGTGTATTTGACAAGTTCAAAGAACAACTCACCCGGGACCCAGCTGGTTGGTACGAAACAGGGTTACCGTGGCGCGGCAACCATCCTGTATTACCCAACAACGAAGCTAATAGTTTACGACGATTAGCAAGTTTAACGAACAGACTCCAGCGGCAAGGTTTGACAACCAAATACGGGGAGATAATGGAGGAACAAAAGGCACAGGGGATAATCGAGAAAGCTGAACTGCGGAGCGTAGTAAGAGAATTCTACATCCCTCACAAAGCAGTTATTCGACCTGTTGCAGAATCCACAAAAATCCGAGTCGTCTATGATGCTTCTGCAAAAGCACATGACGGTGTTCCATCACTGAATGAGTGTCTACATCCGGGACCTCCATTGCAAAATAGAATGTGGGATGTGTTAGTTAGAGGACGGTTTCATCCAGTAGCTCTGACGGGTGACTTGCAAAAAGCCTTTTTGCAAGTACGTATTCGCGAAAACGACCGAGACGCGCTTCGATTTCACTGGCGGAAAGATCAGCAATCAGAACTAGAGACCTTGAGATTTACCAGGGCACTTTTTGGGCTTGTATCATCTCCCTTCTTGTTGGGGGAGTCATTGATGCACACCTGAGTAACTGAGAAGAAAGAGAACCAGAAGTAGTAGCAAAACATATATTAGTTAATAGACAAAATGGTGGAAGGTCATGGATTTTTTAACTCGTTCAATAATACAAATTTCAGACCAGAGAACGTCGATATGAATGCAATAAAGCTATTAAATAATGAAGCTAACTTAACTTTTGCTGGTAGTCGTATAAAGTGGACCGGTGACCTTAATTCATTAAAGAATTATGTCGAAAATGTTATTGGTTTGACCGGCACTTGGAAATCACCTGGTGGAAATGCTAAGCAGTTTAAAAGTTCAACGTTTGATTTTACCTTGACCTGGTACCCGGGAAAGCAGAACTCGATATTGCTTCATGGAAAGGATGGTGAGCTATTCAAACAAATTCTGGTAACAGTTTTAGATACAGATCATATAGTAAGACAAGCAGATGCTATGTTAGACAGTTTATCAGTGAACACAGCGGAGCCGCAAGGTACCAACAATAATGCGAGCGCTCCCAAACTACTAAAAACAGCAGTTAAAGACTGTGCTTCTCAGACTATTCACGAAAGCCCTCAATGTAAAAACTGCGGAAATTTGAGGGCAGAAATGTCTGAGTTTGCTGAGAGACTGAATTGCTTACTCGATCTAACGCATAAAATTTACAGCCTACTGGATAAATCGGTAACTACTTGCCCAAACTCAGGGCAAATAAAGAGATTAATCACTTTCGTGATCAATTTAATTGTTCATTATGCAACCTTTTAAAGAAAAAGACTTCTAAAGAAATTACTAATCATGATGCAGTAATTAATGAATTATCCTCTCAAGCGTGTTTTTCACAGGACATTGCACTCGATTATAATTATCAATCTGGTAATGCGTCAAATTTTGATGCCATAATGAGGAAAACGAAAGCGGTAATTCTGTGGTAGCTAATTACAGGGTGTCCCCAAAAAAGTGACACTATAGAAATTATCCTATTGTTATAATTTGAATGCCCTAGCACTAAGTTGATCCCACAGGTGCATAAACTTCTGCTTCTGGAATTTAAAATAAAAAAAGTAAACCGTTTATTAGTGTAATCGTTTTGCTTGACTCGGGCGTTAAAATATTTGGACAAAGCGAAAACGTTTTAAAATGCTTAAATGTAAATACAAGTTCATTAAATTCCCAGGCGTGTAATCACGCGCGTTTAAGTGCGGCTTAAGAACAATGAGATAATTTCTATAGTGTCACTTTTTTTGGGGACACCCTGTACAGTAGAATCCAGTTAATAGGAAATGCAAATTTAAACGCCTCAATGCAGTCGAATAAAAGTTCTGAGAGAGAAATTTCTATAGTTTTGAGTAATGATGGTCATAATCCCGGCCTTGATGCTCCTACTCAGCTTGTAAAGCCAAATGAGATCACATCGCAAATTGCAACCCAAGAGCAATGTTTAAATGATGCGAAATTGAACACTATTAGTGTGGGCGAGAATAATTCCGTTCCTGAGAGCCCAGCACAAATCCAATTACATATTACAAATATTTCGAATAAAGCTCGTTACGCAAATAGGAGAAAGGATTGTAATGGCAACACACTATATTCATTAACACAGACAAAGTCCTCCGATAGCGCACATAGCCAATTAAATGATAAGGAAAATAGATATACACGACAACGCTTTTATCAGAATAATAACGCAAACCAGTCTAATTATAATAATAATCAGCAACAACCGATTCCCACCCGTATTACTACAAGGAAACGAGTAAAAAACGTGGGTAGAAAATCCAATTCAAAACGAAATGAGTGCAAAAATATTTGTACTGATTATTGTAAGAGTAATATTTCAAAACCCTACGAACAGTCGAAAATTCGAGATGGGAATAATGGAAGAAATAACGAGGATTTTCGTACGGAATCATGGGGAAGAGACAAAATAGGGTAGTTCCAATTTTATTATTAGGAAATCATGCAATGAGTGCTGAAAAAGATGCAAATAGTCCCTCGAGAGATACTAAGAATACGGAACGAACTCGATCTGTAAATTTTAATAATTTAACTTTATGTCAATTGTACAAGGGAACAGAAGACTTATTTTATGCCTATCAACTTTTGCCTGTTGAACACCAGATCAATAAATAGGGAAGAACTTTTTATTAATGATTATGTGTCTAAGAACGATATTGATATTCTAGCAATGACTGAGACACGGTTACGTGAGGATAATAATGAATTTTCTATTGCTGAAATCTGCCCAACGGGGTATCACTTTTATCACGTTACAAGGAAAACTGCACGAGGTGGAGGAGTTGGTCTCTTACTGAAGAAATATATTAAAGTCAAAAAACAATCTCAGAAAAAATTCTCTTCTTTTGAATATATTGATGTCACCTTGAACTGCCGTAATACCTGCACCAGAATGATTGTCATTTATAGACCACCCCCATCGAAGACTAATAAATTAAGCAGCTCAATATTTTTTGAAGAATTCTGCATATTTGTGGAACAGTTGATCATATTACCTGGCAGTATATTAATGGCAGGTGACTTTAATTTTCATATAGATAACATTGGAGATTCAGATACTATTAAACTCAACAAGATACTGGAATCGTTCAATTTACAACAGCACGTCAATGGGCCAACCTACAAGAAAGGCCAGGGCCGGATTAACGCGTACGTCGCGCGAGGCCCGCGGCAGATTTTAGCGCGAGGCCCCTCAACCCCCCCCCCCCCGTTATGAAAACCTTTGCAATTCAAAGGCACACAAAATTGTTAAATAATTGCTTTCAATATTTCAATTGATTGGCATCAATTGTAAACAATTGCCTGCCTGGCCCAGTTGTTGGGTCAACAAGTATAAACAGGATCATATATAACAGATCAGCGCAACTGGAGATTACATGCATACGAGTATTGTATATTTTCCTGGGGTAAACTGCCAATCTTAGGGGCCCTAAATGCGCGATGTGCCTAATTCGCGAGGCACCTAAAATGGGCGTATCCCAATAGAAAATAGGCGTGTTCTCGTAAAAATGGGCGTGGCACAGTAAAGCGCGAGGCCCCCATAAGCGCGAGGCCCGCGGCATATGCCGCATCTGCCACGTGGTTAATACGGCCCTGAGAAAGGCCATACCTTAGACTTGATTATAAAAAGAAATGAAGATAAAATAGTGACTGGTATCAGAATACATGATCCAGTAATATCAGATCATCTTGCCATACATTGTACATTACAGTTAGAGAAACCACCATTAGAACAAGCTGAAATTTATTATCGAAAATTAAACAATGTAAACATGGATAGTTTCAATGAAGATCTAAAAGTACTAGATTTAAATGACGATTATGATCTTTCAGTCCTTATTGATAAATATGAAAATACGTTGAAAGAAACTTTACAGCAGCATGCTCCACAAAAACGACGAATTATAACTCTTCGTCCTTTATCACCATGGTACAATGAGGAGATTGGTCAAGAAAAAAGAAATCGCAGGAAACTAGAGCGCCGCTGGCGCGCATCTGGACTATGTATTGACAGACAGTTATATGTCAAACAATGTGAGACAGTGAATGCCATGATAAAGAATGCTAAGACAACATACTACTCATCGGTTATTTCCAGTAATGCACATAATCAAAAAGTGTTAATTAGTATGGTTGATAAATTACTCCATCGAAAGCCAGAAAAGCGCTATCCAACTGCGTCATCAACGACTGAACTCGTGAATAAATTTGCAGATTTCTTCAGTAATAAGATTGCTATTATATGGAAAGAACTAGCCATTGATTCTTCCCACTGTGATCAGCGAAATCAAGAGGAAGAATATGCACAATGCGTTAAATTCATTAACTTTCAAGAAGTCACGGAACATGAGATTGAAAATGTTATTGATAAAGTTGGTAAAAAATCTTGTGAACTTGAACAGTTCCCGCAAAAATCTTTCAAGGTTGTCAGAAGACTCTCTTATCTATAATTACTAAGATTAGTAATGAGTCACTTCAGTCAGGTTGTATGCCTGAGAAACTAAAAGAAGCCGTGTTGAAACCAAAACTAAAGAAAGATTCGCTGGAGTACGAAGAATACACAAATTGCCGACCTATTTCAAATTTAAAATTCCTGTCTAAAGTAATTGAGAAGGTTGCTGCCGATCAGTTTCTGGAACACTTGGCTAATAACAACTTAGAAGAACCCTTCCAGTCGGCATATAAACGTTTTCATAGTCCAGAAACAACCCTATTAAAAGTACAAAACGATATTCTTGTAGCCATTGATAAACGTAAGTGTGTGGTGTTGCTATTACTAGATATGTAGAACTTTTGCTACAACGAATATAGAACTTTTACTACAATTAACGAATGTTCAAAAGATTTGGGATAGATGGGCAAGTGTTGAAATGGTTTCAGTCCTATCCTCAGAATAGAACGCAAAGTGTAGTGATTGACGGTGTTAAATCTATCTCTAAAGACTTGCGCTGTGGAGTCCCACAAGGATCAGTTCTCGGCCCTATACTATATTTACTATACACTTCACCCCTTGGTGATATCATCAGAGGTCATGGTCTTGATTTTCACTTTTATGCAGATGACTCGCAATTATATTTCGCTTTTGAGTCAACCATTGAGGGAAAATTGGGAGCACTGGCACAAATTGAAATGTGTGTGAAAGAGATTGATTTGTGGATGGTCAAAAATAAATTGAAATTGAATGGGGACAAGACTGAACTACTAGTAATCAATGCACGAAATCGTTCGTGCCCTGCTGTAGAATATATAGAAGTATCTAATTCAAGAATTCAACCAAGTACTTCAGCACGAAACATTGGTGTAACTTTCGACCACCACATGTCTATGGATAAACATGTTACCAATATTTGCATTGCAAGAACTGTTTTTTCCATTTGAGAAAAATAGCAAGAATAAAAGAGTACTTATCAACGTCAGATATCCAAACTTTAGTTCATGCCTTTATTACATTGAAACTGGAGAATTGTAATTCTTTATTATACGGATTGCCTAAATTTCTTATTGATCGGTTACAGAATGTGCAAAACTGTGCTGCTCGACTGGTGACAGGAAGCAAAAAATACGATCATGTTACTCCATTAATGAAACAATTACATTGGCTCCCCATCAGTCAACGCATCATCTATAAAATTGTTCTTATTACGTATAAATCTCTGAATGGCTCAGCTCCACATTACATTAATAATATGCTAAAACCTTACACACCATCAGCAAACACATGACTAAGTTATTATTTTAACAAGATTATTAGCAATTTTATAGTATTCTATATAGTTGTTGTTTTAATATTATCAACATACATACATAACATAAAGTAATTTTATATTCTTAACGAGAAGAGCATATAATTAATTTTTTAGTAATTTTATAGTATAGTAATTTTAGTAGTCAATGCATGTACTATGTTCTAACACTTAGTATATATTTTTAACACTTAGTGTTAAGCGCTATTGAGCTATGGGAAATGGCGCTATATAAATGAATTATAATAATAATAATAATAAAACTGCGTGAAGAGTTGTACGTGGACGATTTGATAACGGGGTCAACATCAGTATCGAAAACGGAAGAAGTTAAAGAGAAAGCAACAACTATTTTCGAGGATGCGAGGTTTAAGCTTCACAAATGGCACTCGAATGAGCGTGAATTAGAGACGACATAATCTCAAGACGGTGATCCTACCTATGCAAAGGAGCAGTTAGGGACCCCAGAAGGGAGAGATAGTAGCTTGCTCGGACTTGCGTGGAATAAAGAACGAGATACAGTAGCTGTTACAATGCCCACTGAAAAGACGGTGTTCACCAAACGGGGCGTCTTGGCAAAGCTCGCCAAGATATATGACCCTTTGGGCTCGTATCTCCTTTAACGCTTACGGTAAACTTATCTTACGTCCAGCATGTGACACCAAGAACGCCTGGGATGCACCACTTTCAGAAACCCTCGCAAAGTTGTGGAACAAGTGGAACAGTGAACTTCCAGTACAAGTGGAAACTGAGAGATCTTTGGCAGTTTATCAAGAGCCAATTGAAGCCATCCAACTGCATTCCTTTGGAGATGCGAGCGGTAACGGGGTTGCAGCGTGTGTTTATGCCGTAGTTGAGCAAGATTCGGTGACGAACCAAGGCCTAGTCGCGGCGAGATCAAGACTACCGATGCGAGGATTAACGATTCCGAGGCCTGAACTGGTAGCGGCGCATATGGCAGTCAACTTGGCTTCAAATGTAAAGGAGGCATTGATCGGATTTCCGGTTACAAAAGTTCAATGTTGGTCGGACAGCTCGGTAGTTCTGCATTGGATTACGGAGGGCGGCGAGTACAAACAATTCGCTTCAAACCGGATTAACAAGATCAACCAGCACCAAGGAGTTGTGTGGCGACACGTGCTCTCAGCGTTCAACCCTGCTGACCTTGCAAGTAGACGGGGCCTAGTAGACAATGCAAACTTGTGGTGGAATGGCCCTGAATGGCTGTCTAACACAGAACTTTGGCCAGAAGATATAGTAACTGAGCCAACGGCAGAAAGCGATGCCGAAGCCAGAGCAGTGAAACAATTATTCACAGTTGCAGTCTACAACAACGTATTACAGTACTAAAAAGTTCTTTTATGGAACTTGTAATCCAAGGGACTCGTCTAGTTCTGATTGTTTTGTTTTGAAGGGGTGCATGTTTGTCTAAAACTTCTAAGAGTTTCTGAGAGTTTAATACGTAACGATTTGATTCGTAAGGAATGTGACGGATTTAAAAATTTCCCTCCTTATAAATCAATCTCGTACCCAGAGCAATGCCTGTACGCGGGCTAAGGGCCGCGTACAGGCATTGCTCCGGGTACGAGATTGCCTTCACATGTGAATTCGAACTTCCGTCCCTTAAGCTACGTCACACGGCTCTCGGCCCAGACCCTTATCCGTTTTTTTTCTTGGGCGCGACAATTTTTCGCTAAAAGCCAATTTTTCAAGGTTTAGACTCTCATATCTCGCGAATGAAAAGAGAAAACCGAAAAATGTTAAAGAACCTATTAACTAACTTTTTGTCTTCTACCAAATATAAAAAAACTTTTTGTGACATAAGCACTTTTTTTAACTGGAGGAACACGTCGTTCCTATAGTATCTTCCGTCAGTCAAAATCGTTGCTTGCTGAAGCTATATCTAATATCATGCAGACAGGAAGTTGCAAATGGCCTAACATATTTTCACATGTCGCGACTTACAGCATCCCGTAATGCAGTAAGCTGAACCCATATTTGAACGTGATGTGCAAATTAGTACCAGGCCTTAAAACGTCGTTGAATATATAGAGAATAATACATGCATGGGTGCGCGTGAGCGCAGCGAACGAGTGATGATATCATGTTCGACACGAGAAATAAATCTGGTATTTCCAAGCACCCATGTATTTTTCTGTTTATTATATAAACAAAATTCAGTAAAAAACAATAAAGTACGTCCGTGGCAATGCGTTTTACAATTAATGATATTTTCACACGTTTTTACGATATTTTTACGTGTGTTTAAAAATACGTGGCCAAAAACTCTATATAACACTTATGTTTATATAATAAAATAAATTTTGCGAATTATTGCTTTGAACATCAATTTTTTTATCTCTAAAAATACAAGGCTTTTTACGTCTGCGGCGAAAGGCGAAGTTTTCAAATTCAGTGGAACAAATCCATCAAATGTTGGGATTTCAATTTCACCGAAGCACTATCATACCGGAACATCTTGTGCAATAAGACGTGAATCTCGCATAGAATAAACACCCGCTTTGAACATCTTTTCAATTCAAAAACTTGAATTAGGTGAGACTTTTTTTATTCATTGGTTTACGGATCCGCCGACCGTAAATATTCAGAAAGTGAAAATTTAAAAAAAAATTTAGATTTCAAAAATTTTACAATTTTCTGACATGAAGTACGCTTCAAGTGAACTTTGACTCCAGGTACTGCTGGCTCATGTTATCGTTGTGACAATCAATATGTAGATTAGCCACGTTTTTTGCGATTTTTTGAAATTGGCATTAAAACATTTTATAAAGATTATTAATTTCGGTTCTCATTTATACTCAGTTCGTTTTTTTTTTTATTTTAAATTTTTTCCGACATACCGACCTCTTATTTTTAAAGTCAAATCCGTAAACCAATAAATAAAAAGAGTCTCGCCTTAAAAGATTACTTCCATGGTAACAATGCATATCGTCTTCATAGTTTGCACAATTGTAGTTGTTAAAGAGACTATGCAGTAGCTAATACGAAAGCGAACATATAGCTGCATCCGCCAAGTGCTTGCTAATATTATTTTCATAACATAGTATTTGTATTATGCTAATCCATCACATCCGCATCTGCTCAAGAAAAATTCAATTAAGTAATATTAAAATAATGATTCTGGAAGAATTAATTGGTTCTTTTGTGACCCTTTTCACGGTACTAATTCAAACACCGCATCTGTCTAGGGAATCTCAAGAAAGAATCTGTAGCTTAATATTCGAAGAAAATCCTGCACAAGACGAAGTATGCGATGGCTGGATACACCGTGAGTACGAGGAAGAGGCACAGCCCGACTTGCCTTATTATGAAGAAGAATTATCTGTTTTGGTGCAAACTAATCAAGAACCAAGGAGAAATTTCTGCGAATCATTTCAGCGAAGTTGTAAGGCAAATCTGGGATTAGTAATCCAAGTTGTTTTCATTGTGGGCTCGTTGATAGTTGGACTTGTCTATCTTGACTTGAGTACAAGTGATGCGTGTATAAATATAATGCATAACAAGCACGCTGTTCCACCTCGCGTTCGAATTGTTCAAATCATTGGGATTTCTATAAAATTACTGCCGCTGTTTGCATGGCTTCCAACGACGGTGATTATGTTGTGGGGTTTCAGAGAGTTCAGAAAGAACTATTTGTTGTGGTTGTTTATCTGTCAGTTGCTAACAGGATCTACTGCTTGTGTTTATAGGATTATTGAATTCGATAATTTGACGACAACTGCCAGTGATTACAACAAATACAGGTCAGTAGTTTACTATCTGAGAAAAGGCTAATTTGCACAGACATGCATGTCTGCAGAGAAGGCTAAACTACGCACTTACGGAACCGGACGAATTTAAAAGCGCCCTGTTTCACGTTTCGTACACTCCGTGTGAACGCTAAAAGGTCCTAAAATTAGACAGATTTAGATCGAGGACGCGAACGTCAACAATGACGTTAATATGGCGTGTTGTGCCCATGTATGGATATGCCACGCCATTTAGACGCCATTTTCACGTTGTCTTTGACGTCCGCGTCACATAATAGAAAATATACCAGAAGGTCCATTTAGCCAAAATTATGTCCGAGCTTTTTCATGCGCAGGCGCGCAAACCTGCAAGTGTAATCACGACGACATCAAACGCGGGCAATACGCCATCACTTGATAATGATCGCCGTTTTTAAATGCCACAGGTCCAATTTATTATTATTATTATTATTATTATTATTATTATTATTATTATTATTATTATTATTATTATTATTATTATTTAAGGAGAAAAGTAAAAGTCGTTTGTTTAATTGGCCGTCCTGGTTGAGTTCATTTCCATCCGCAAGTAAAGATTTCGACTTAGAATGTCCTACGTATCGTGAGATCTCTAAAATAATCAGAAAAATGAAAAGTCGTGGCTCTGCGTGTCCTTTCGACCAAATAAGCATTATTTCGTTTCAACGTTGTCCAATTTTAAGAACGCATTTATGGATAATTATCTGTAAATGCTGGAACGGAAAAAATATTCCATCTGTCTGGAAGCACGCGGCGGCGATATTGATCCATAAAAAAAATTCAACTGAGGATCCTGCTAATTTCCGTCCTATCTGTCTAGAGCCTGTTTTGCTAAAAGTCATAACGTCATTGCTAAGGAATAGAATCTTTAAGTTTGTTTGCGAAAACGAATTTATTGAGTCGGGAATCCAGAAAGGTTTTTGGCCTGGAATTTCGGGGACTATTGAACATACGGAATTATTATCACATATTATTAACCATGCCAGAAATAAGCAAAGATCTCTTGTAGTTACTTTAATTGATCTGAAAAATGCCTTTGGTGAGGTACATCATAAACTTATACGAACTATCTTGATAGCTCATCACATTCCTGAAGAAATTATATGCTTTGTTGAGAATCTCTACTCTGATTTCAGTATCTCAATTATTACGAAAGGGTTCATTACGAAACCAATTCCAGTGCAACGAGGCGTGTTACAAAGTGATTGTTTATCACCCTTGTTATTTAATCTTTGTGTAAATTCTTTGATTCACACAATAAACGACGCGAAATTAAAATGTCTCGGCTATGTAAATAACGCAACGATGTACCCTAGGCACTGGTTCCAATTTGCGGATGACACAGCAATATTAAGTGCTCATGAAGAGGACAATCAATTGCTTTGTAATGTATTTAATAAATGGTCAACGTGGGCGGATTTGCATATTCGTGTTGAGAAATGTCATAATTTTGGAATCAAGAAGCAATCCTCAAAAGCAATTCAATACCAACCAGTTATTATTATCTCGGGCAAGCGTGTACCGCCGATTGAATGCGAACAGGGGTTTAACTATCTTGGAAAGCAATTTAACTTTAATATGGAATGCGAACAGATCAAAGTAGAGATACTAAGTGAAATCGACGAATATCTGCAGAAAATAGATCTTTTCCCCATGAATCCTTTTTCGAAAATCAGGATCATTCAGAATTATGTTTACTCAAAGCTCCGTTGGCGATTTTCTATATACCCCTTTACTGAGACCTGGATAAAGCAAAATATTGAGCCAGCTATTTCCAAGTATATTCGAAAATGGTTACAGATCTCGATTAGTAGCAATATCACTCATCTAAAACTGCCAAAATCATATCTAGGGATTGACTTTTGCTCTGCTTCAGATATATATTTACATTGCAAACTTTCGGTTAGGCGCATATTGAAAACATCTAGAAACAGTGATATTCAACATCTGTATTCTGTAACATCTTCCAAAAATATTAATACGGATGAAATAATTGAGAAAGTATCATCAAATGTAACAAATGGATACGAACTGAAAACCGGAATAAATAAGTTATTGAAACAGCAAAGTACAAATGATATTTGGGCAAATTTTATTACGCTAAAGGAACAAAGTATTATTATAAACTATCTAACTGAAGCGTGCAACAAGAAAATACTGCACTTTTGGCAAGAAATGGTTTGCAGACTACCCCGTAATATAACTTGTTTTGCAAGACGGGCTCTAGTGCTTAACTTGAGCAACAATTCTAACCTCAAGCGCTGGAACATTCGAGATTCTCCAAATTGTGACCTTTGCAACAAAATTCAAACACAACTTCATGTTCTTTCATATTGCCCTGTAGCGTTACAACAACATCGGTATACGTGGAGGCATGATTCTATATTAAACACCATTCTTCATCACTTAAGGAGAGTGATGTCGGAAGACCTGGAGATTTTTGCCGATTGTCCAGACTCTGGCTTGAAATGTACGTCCAATCTGTTTCAAGCGTTAAGGCCAGATATTACGATTCGTTATAAAAGAGACTTGTATGTGATTGAATTGACTGTCCCATATGAAACGAACTGCATGATTGCAAGACGACGTAAACAAGAAAAATGTCGGGTATTGCGATCACAGTTACTCGTACCGTGTGATAGATTTAAAGTTATAACTTTGGAAGTCACTACTCTAGGCTTCGTCACGAAGAGTATAGGCCAATTTCGTAGGCTATGTAGGTTGTTACATTTGCAAGACGATCGTATCATAACAAAATGTATGGAGGTTGCACTTCGTGCTACTTTCTACATATTTTGTAAGAGAAATAAGAACTGGTCTTGCCCTGAATAGCTCAACTTTTATTAGCTACTAATGTGTGACAGTGTAGATAACGGACCTGCTTTATCCAGAGAACTGTTGTCTTATTTATTAAGTGTAGTTAGGTAAAATTTGGTCTGGACTCATAAATGTATGACTATATGGGTCAGGCTATGTAATTGATTTGTAAAGGTTTAAAAAAAATTATTATTATTATTATTATTATTATTATTATTATTATTATATTTATTATTATTATTATTATTATTATTATTATTATTATTATTATTATTATTATTATTATTATTATTATTATTATTATTATTATTATTATTATTATTATTATTATAGACATCGAGCAGTGGCGTATACACGCTCTCTGCACATGTCCTTAGTTTCAACGAAAAACTTTACTTGAATTGATCATACTAACGTCATATTTTGGTTTTTTATACTTCTAATTAATCAATGATTCGTGTGAACTTGCTTGCGTTGTTTTCAACGCTAATAATGTGTGGATTTTGTGGCAAGGATTTTGTATCGTTGGGCCGTCACTCGTGGCGCTGTAAAAGCAAAGTGGAATATGGGCAAGAAACCAGAGTAAATGCTATTCCTGCTATAGACATGCCTTCACAAGCTGGTAAAGTCTGCAAAGGGGCGCGAGGTCTAAAATGCACCAACGAAGTTGCAGAGTTATTGATGATCTTGAAGACGAGCTACAACATCAAATGTCTGAAGTTTTAACCGAACAACAGAATGGGGATAATGTGGACCTAGTTAACTATCGCCTATAAACATGCAAGAAAACTTCCCTGACTTAAAAAAAGGAATCAAACTACCTAAATCGCCATTACAATGGTCAACTGCTAACGACTTTTTCAAACTAACCTTTTCAAATCTTCCAATAACACCGCGCGATTTAAATATATAACATTAACACCATGGCAACAGTCGTCTATAACTATTTCAGCGAGAATTTTGGATATGTCTACAATCATAATGATGTTCAATACCAAAGAAAATATGAAAGCTTTTCAACTAAAGATTTGAAAAAATCATTAAAAAAATTAAAATTAGAAAACGGAGATATTTTGGAGATCAAGTTCGTCGCAAAGAAACTGCGCAACATTCTTAATAAGTCTAATAATACGGACCTCAATAACACTGATAGTCATGCGTCTGCAAATATTGATCACGATAGTCTAATTGGTAAAAACCTCTGGGGTTTTGTTAAACGATTTTTTAAAAGAACACCAGCTCATTTCCATCATTTAACCTAGCACAATGTACATCATATTTCACCAAAACATTGTCCGCGATTAGCCCAACTAAAACATTCAACATCCCCAGTTGGACGCCTTTTAATCTTGACCCCCCTACCTATCAAGAGATTACAAATGTCATCCGTAAAATGAAACCGTCTGGCTCACCATGTCCACTTGATCAAATATCTATCATCTGTTTTAAACGGTGTCCTTATTTACGCTCGTACTTAACTGAGATAATCCACGCAGCCTGGTCTTGCGGTGTTGTCCCATCTGAATGGAAGAAAGCATGTACGATTCTAATTCATAAGAAAGGAGAAACAGCAAACCCAGCGAACTTTCGACCCATTACTCTTGAATCTGTCCCACTCAAAGTTTTCACATCATGTCTTCGCAACAGGACATTTCAGTTTCTTGCTGAAAACAATTACATTGAACAGAACATACAATAAGGTTTCACTCCAAAACTCTCAGGAACACTAGAACACACAGCACAGTTGGCACATATCATTAATAAAGCGCAAGTAAAACAACGATCACTTATCATAACACTATTAGATCTCAAAAATGCATTCGGTAAAGTCCACCATAACCTTATTTATGAAGTCCTTGAATATCACCACATTCCCGATCACATAAAGAATCTCTTGTCAGTAGCCTTTATACTGATTTCCAAACTTCCATAGTAACTGAACAGTTCAATACTTCCTTCATTACAGTCGGTCGTGGCGTCCTTCAAGGCGATTGTCTCAGTCCTCTTTTATTCAACATGTCTTTCAATACCTTTATCCAACATATTAAATCGGAAAAATACCGTCAACTTGGATTTGGAAATCCAGCGAAAACGGTACCGCATTAAATCCTCTTCATTGGTTCCAGTTTGCCGACAACGCGGCTGTTGTTAGCGGCCAA